CCGTGGGGGGCGGAGTTGTCCCCGCCCCCCCCCCGTTCCCGGGGGACTGCGGCCCCTTCTTAAGCCCGCAGAGCCTCTAGCGGCCCCTCACTCGTCTCTCCCTCCAGTCTCCCTCCCGCGCGATGGCTTCGGCGCTGAGCTATGTCTCCAAGTTCAAGTCCTTCGTGATCTTGTTCGTCACCCCGCTCCTGCTGCTACCACTCATCATTCTGATGCCCGCCAAGGTCAGTTGCATCTCCAGGCAGCCCCGCGGACTCTGGGCACCGGTGCCCACTAACGGGCTCCGAACCCTGGAGCACAGAGCTGGAGCGCACGGACTCCCGGCGGGCACAGCTCCCCTGGGGCGCGCGCCCTCGGGAGCTCGAGGTGTCAGATGGGAGGTGCCTGCCAAGAATCTGAAGGGCATGGCGACGCCGGGGCTCACCAGCCTTAGGGTGTACAGATCCCAGGGCGCAAGAACTGTCCGAGCAAGCACGGAAACCTAGTAGTGAGCAAAGATCGTAGCCACACAGACCTCGGCTCAGAATCTTCCCAGAGTACATAACCGTGTCTCCCAGAAAATGCCACCCACCGCCCACAGGGAGCCTGGGTCCTTGCCATTCCCTCCCGCTGTCTCTCCTGCCTCTTCCCATTCGCGAGTGGAGACTTCAAGGGATGGGTGGCTTCTGACGTCAGTCAGGGACCCACATGAAAAAAGCACCACCCAGGTGGACCCTGCGTTGTCTTTGCCACTTTCTGGATCTTCTTTGGGCCTCAGTTTCCCTAGCTGTGACCCACATTTCTCTCCAGCTCTGAAAGCCGGGAAGCCACAACTGAGTCAAAATCTTGCTCCAAGCTGGAAGGCTGGTTGGATTGGCCTGCTTTGCCGGCTGGCTGGAGCTGTGGCCCGAGGCGGGACACATTCCCAGAGCGCACGCCTTGGGTGGCACGACCTAGGGCTGCAGGGAAGCTTCATCCCATGCCCTGGCCTCCTAATGTTCCTGGGAGGGAAGGAGGGAATGAATGGCCCTGGTGGCAGGGTGGGGGCAGGGCTGAACGCCTGGCCCCAGGCTCCACTGGGCTGTGCACGGCCAGTTTGGCAGAGGCCCGAGCCCTTTGAAGCCTTTTGTGGCTGCTGGCTGCTCCTTCCTCATTCCCTCTTTCAGCCCTTTCACTCTTAGCCCAGACAGGAAACCTCCGGCTCCCCACTCCCCAGGCAGGTTTGAGAAACAGAGGAGCTCTTCAGGGGATGCTTTGGGGGCAGCTCTGGAGGAGGGGCTTGCACTGTGCAGTCAGGAAGCCCATGCAGGAGAACTGGCCTTCCACCATTCACTCATCTATGTAAATTTAGCCAAACCCCTGTGCTGTCTGGGCCTTGGTGTTCTCATCTGTACAACGGGACTAGGTGGTTTGGTTCTGATGCTTTAAGGTTTTGGGTATCAAAGGGGGTTATGTTGGCTCCTAGTACAGGGAAGTGGAGACTGGGTGGGCTGAGCACAGGTTTGGGATGTGTCAAGGACAGCAGATCCAACTGTGGGAGCTCTTCAGTTGCCACACCACCTGTGAGCAGCCATATTTCCTCTGTAGAAAGAGATTTGGGGCTGTGAGTGTCTGTGGGAGGGAGTCAGGCAGAAGAGCTGTGATTTTAGTTCTGCTGAAGGCAGTATGTTCCTGAAATAATTATAGTAGCTTGGCTGACCTTCCTGCTCTGGTAGATGGTGACTGAGACCCCATTCCCACCTGAACTGGGACCCCAATTCAGTGTGAGTGTGTGTATGTGTGTGTGTGTGTGTGTGTGTGTGTGTGTGTGTGTGTGTGTGTATGTGTGTGTGTATGTGTTTAAGTTGCCCTGGGAGTGAGGATCAGGAGGGGAAGAGGAGACACCAGTGGGTCCTTCCATAGTCTGCCTTCCTGTACTTATCTCTGGCTGTGTTGGGTGAATGGAAGCCTGGACCCTGTCTTCTTGTTTCCCTTTGTTCCTCTGTTTTGGTCACCCTGCCCCCTCCCTTCATGGCCATCCCACTGTGCCAGGAAGCCCAGAGGTACACAGCACGGGCAGAGTGGCTGGGAAGCTGGCAGGACCTTGGCAGCCAGGGCAGCATGGTACTCTCAGGGCGGTGACTTCCAGGGCACACTGCCCTCTGCCAACACTCTGTCCCTCTATTCACCAACTGTCTTCAGTTTTTCCTCTTTCCACCTTGGTTCCTTCCTGTTCTCTCTCTCTTTTTTTTAAACAACAACGAAAATAATTTAATCAAAGAAATGATAAATTTCTTGTATTGTTTATTTAAACTGTAAAAAATATCTTTTTTATAACGTGAAAATGAAAATACCCTCAAATTTTATAGCATTAATATTTTGATGGACATCTTTTCAAAAACCAATCAATCTCTTGTCTCTCCACACACACACACACACATACACGCACACACACAGTGTATGTTTTGTTTAGACTTTCTCATTAAGCAACTTGACAGGGACACCCTTACTTGTTAAGAATTCTTTGAATAGTGAGCCATGATTTTGTTCGGATGTGAATTTATTCACATGTACTTTCAGTGCCTCTATATTATTGGAGCCTCATTATGTGCTAGGCATTGTGCTGGAAACTGACGTTTAAATTCCATTGCCTGCTTTTATCTCAGCTGTAATGGCTTTTCCTGCTGTTTTCTGGGCCACAGGGAAGTGCTCTGAAGTGCGCACAGGGAAGTGCTCTGAAGTACGCACAGGAAGCCAGGCTTCCCTCTGCAGGTAGAACCCATCTCATTCTTCACAGTTACCACCCTCTCCTCAGACTTTCCTAGCATTGCCCTTCCTAGTCTGCCCTCTTCACTGATGCTCTAGACTAGGGAGGCTCAGGCTTGTTGACTGGTATGATTCAGGGATGTGACGCCTCCTGGGCTTTCTAACAGAGTGGAGGTGACGGAGCAGTTAGCCTTGCAACTCATCTTCTTTTCTTTTCCATCTTTTTTGAGTCAGAGTCTCACTCTGTCACCCAGGCTGGAGCTCAGTGGCATGCTCACAGTCACTGCAGCCTCGACCTGTTGGGCTGAGGCAGTGATCCTTCCGCCTCAGCCTTTCAAGTAGCTGGAACTACAGGCGTGAGCTACCATGCCAGCTATTTTTTTTTTTAATTGTAGAAACGAGGTGTCACCAAGTTGCCCAGGCTGGTCTAGAACCCCTGAGCTCAGGCAGTCCTCTCACCTTGGCCTCCCAAAGTGCTGGGATTACAGGATTGTGCCGCCGTGCCCGGCCTCATCTTCTTTTCTGATGGGTATATTTGGCTCCTGCAGGAATGCATGGTGAAAATTGGTTACACATGCCACTGACTGCTTGTAAGTTTAGAGAATTAAAAAAAATCAAGGACTTTGTGTGTCATACATGAAGAATGAATACTCTTAAATCATCAATTTATAGATGAGGACATGAAGCAAGGGAGAGAGGGGCCAGGACTGGGAGCAAGAGGAAGAATATACCTGTGAGGTTGTTTAGAATGACTGTCATGTGATGATAATAAGAAGTAAATTGATCTTTTAGCTAGTGTTATTGTTTTAAAATTCTCTACAGTGCACCCTCTCACTGCCTGCCCCTGAAGGGGATCATTCCCACCGCCTGCCCCATGATATACTCTTTTTTTTTTTTTTTTTTGAGTTGGAGTCTCACTCTGTCACCCAG